ATGTTATTCTTAATAAAATTGAAAAGTGAGCTTCATTTTAACAAAGTTTCCAATTTCTCCTGGTTATATAATTCAAACCCAGTGTCTCTTCAAATCTCAGAGTTGCTGGCATGAAATGGAAACTTTTGTACTTCATTGACAATTAACAAAGGCTTTGGCAGGAATTGAGGTAGCTGTGGGCTATCATATTCTGTCTTGTTTAACTTTGTGGATGAATATTACCTTCTAGTCATGTATCTCTTCAGTGCAGCAAAGCAGGAATAAATAATGCAGATAAACTCCAGGATGTCTCAAATATAAGTGGGGGAAATTACAGAAAAGTGTTATATAAATACGGGTGTGTTGTAGAAAGGAACAGAAGAATATTTGGAGTGAGGCTGGGGGCAGTGAGCAGTAAAATGTCATTTTTTGGTGGGTAGCTCAGTGCCTGCTCTGCTGGGCAGGTCTGTCCCAGGAAGCTGCAGCTGACTGCTCGTGCCGCTGGAGGGAAGCCACAGCACAGCCCTGAGCGCGCTCGGGGGCGGCCGCACCGCGGCTCGGGCCGGCTTTGCCGAGGGGAATTGTCTGCCGTGAGCTGCAGAAACGCCGCCAGACCCAGCAAGACAGAAGGAAATACTTGAGAAGCGTTGTGGGGGTTGAATCACCCCACACGCTTGGAAAGGGTTTGGCAGGGACAAATACCATGATGCTGCTTTTCCCCCCTAAAGTAGTTTTAAAGCTGTGCCTTTTCCTGGAGTTGTTTTGGTGTTTGAAGACTGTTCCATCCTGGGGATGCTCTGTTGTGAGACAGGGAAGAGGAACAATGCTGAGAATATCTCAGAGTCTTCAAGAGATTCACAGAATGGTTGGGATTGGAAGGGAGCTCTGGGGATCACCCACTGCAACCCCCCTGCCAAGGAAGGGTCACCTGGAGCAGGAGACAAGGGAATGCATCCAGGTGGGTTTGGAATGTCCAGAGGAGACTCCACACACCCTCCCTGGGCAGCTGTTCCTGTGTTCTGCCACCTCCATGGGAAGCTCTTCTCCATGTTGAGGTGAAAGTTCTTGAGTTTTAGTTTATGGCTCTTGCTCCTTGTCCTGTTGCTGAGCACCATAAAAAGAGTCTGGCACCCTTTGGAGATATTTATGTGCATTGATGAGATCCCCTCTGAGCCTTCTCCAGGCTCAGCTGTGTCTCCTCATCAGAGATGCTCCAGGCCCTCCATCATCTCTGTGGCCTCTGCTGGATCCTCTCCAGCTCCTTGTCTTTCTTACACAGAAGGGAAAACTTGCTGAGGGTTTTCTCTCCTTTCATCCAGGACATTCCATTCCTTTGACCAGGGAACTCCATTTCTTCATCTCTTACTCTTCAGCAGAGGGGTTGCCTTGCTCAAGAGGTTTGCAGTCGCTGCCCTTCACCAGCTGAACCCTCCAGACAAGCTCTGAAACACACCCGTGTCCCACCAGCCAATCTGCCAGGGCACATGGCTTTGGTTTGCATGGGTTTGGGTTGGTGCTGATTCCTGGTGCACTGGGAATTGCTCTGCAGTGGATCTGGGAATCAATCCCTGCTGTTGGTGGCTGGGGCAGGACAGATGGATGCTAACAAGTCCTGGAGATGGGAGAACTGGATGAGCTTTGGGTCCCTCTCAACCCAAACCCTGCTGTGATCCCATGAGACCTTGAAGAAGAGGGTCCCCAGCAGTCAGGACTGTTCTGTCATCTAGAAACTTGTTGAATTTACAGGAAGGAAAGGCAGGGCCAGTTAATTAATTATAAAGAACAGAAAGTGAGAAAACTGTTTCAGAAAAATCTGTATTGCTTTAGGTGCTTATCGGAATTTATGCAAATTATTTCATGATTGGGGGGACAAAAACCTATCCTGGACACTCCTTGCAAATGACACATAGCTTACAGATCATGAAGGAAGTAGATACTAATTTTTTGATTGCCCTCGCCTTGCAGTGCTATGACTAGACCTGGATCATTGTAGTGTGTCATTGAACAAACCTTTCCTGCTGGTTTTTTCTCCCGCCAAAAAACTGAAAGGACTCACAAAAGAGATCAAAATCAGCAAAGCAAAATGCTTCATCAGGAAAGAGATGAGCCCTGTCTCTGGCTGGCAAAGTGGTTACTGATGGGGCAAGGGATTTCTTTGCTTAACAGAATTTTCTCTGAGTATAAGAAGAAACTTTACTTTGCAAGAGGAGTTTCAGAAGGTGGTGCTGCTGGACACCCTGGAGTGTGAAACAATGCCCTCCATGGAGAAGTGAAGGCAGAGCCATGGCAATGGGATGCTGAATTCCATTTCTGTGCTACCTCCACTGGTCAGAGTCAGTAGTGAGTTGTGTTGCTGCTTTCTGGTATCAGGCAGTGACCCATAAACCCATTCTGGAAGGTTTGTTGGACCAACAGAAGAACAGACAGAAAAAGATTAATCAAAGGTCAGTGCTCCACCAGATTGTTGGAGTCTGGGGAATTTGTCTGGGGAAGCCCTTCCTGTCCCATTAACGTGGTGTTTTGCTCTCCAGCAGTATCCATCTGACACATTTTTGTCATTATCAAATTTACAACAAAAATAATTGTTGATGAGGCAGTGCAGTGCAGGGAGGAGCTCAGAGTTTCCCAGTGCATTGTGTCCATCCCAGCAGGGGCATGGCTGGGACACAGGCACTGCCACCAGGTGCCATTCAGGATGTAACCACCTGCTATTGTTTCACACACCTTGTGAGCTCCATGTGCAATCCACAGAAAACTGAAATTGTGTTTCTGCCCGTGGAGGAGGAAACGCTCTGCGGCTCCTGGGTGGTCAAGCCCCAGGCAGAGGGATCCCACTGAAACTCCCCAGCTGGGTGAGCCCAGAGCAGGGCTTTCTATTGGATCCAGTCCAGTGGAGAGTTTCACCCAAAAAAACATCAAGGGGCTGTGCCTCGGTGCAGGGGCAGGGCTGGGAGATGAGCTGATTAATTACTGAGCTGCTGCACACTGACAAAGCGAAACCCCGGCAGTCCTTGGCTCAGGGATTATGTCAAAATGAGTTACAAATCATCAGGATTACTTTGGACAGCTACAGGGGATCCAGATAAACAAGCAGTAAAACAAAAAACCACTTTAGAGTGGCCTGTGTAAATCAACCCATCGTCTGTTCTGTGTAAAGTGCAAATAAACACAGCCCAGACCCTGCTGCTGGACTGTAGCACTGACCCCTCCTTGGCTCCTCCTGGAGTCAGAGGATTTTCTTTAACCAAGGTGGGTAGAAACTGACATTACTGGATGGAGCTTTGGATTTTTTCTGACCATTGGGGTTTCCTTCTCTTTCTGGGTAGTGGAGACCTGGGTTTGATTTTCTTGGTGAATCATGTGTTTAGCTCTTGTAGGTCTGAACTTTAAGAGTGTTCAGAATAAAGCATCTCCATCTGCAGCCCCAGTGACTGAGAGAGGCAGAAGGCAGATGCAGAATTGTTAATTCTCTGCAGTGATCTGCAAGAGGAGCTGACTCCTGAGGAGAAAAACCTCCACATCCTCTCAGGTCCTCACTGTGGTTCCCTCATCCTTGCAGAGAGTTGCATTTGCTTTTTGAGCATTTGCTCTGGTTTTGACTGTTCACCAGTGTCTGTTCAGAGGGAATCTGGCGAGACAGAGCAGGACAAAGTGCAGGAGTCCCGTGTCTTGGAGCAGGCGCTGGGACACGTGGTCTGCCAAGGCTGTACCTGCAAGGCTGAGTTCAGTTTTCATTGGAATCCTTGGGGGCACTGTCACCTGTGAGGATGAGTGCTGACCTCCACAGCTGCTGGATGTTGTGCCACAAAAGGTGCCCGTGTTTAGTGTTACAGCTGGAGGTGGTGTCATCCTCGGTGCTCCGAAAGGAGAGGGTTGCAGCTCGGAGCCGCCTTCAGGATTGCAGTGCCCAAGCACAGGCGATCGGGGCTGTTTTGGCCGGCTCAGCGCCCTCGGAGGAGGAGTGGGATGGGGTCCGGGGTCTCAGAGCCCTGGGCAGAGCCGGGGGGATGCTTCCCACAGCGCCGGTTTCAGTGCCCGGAACCACGGCCAGAACCGGCCCCTCGGGGCTGCCTTTGACGGGGCAAACTCCCAGCGGGAGGCAGCTGCTCTTACTGGGAAGTTCTTTGCGCTTCCAGCCGGGGAACAGAGCGTTCACAGGGGAATTTCCCTGCCTTTCCCCTGCCAGAAAACGATTTCTCACCAACCCCCTTTAAAATTTAGCTTTGAAAAACTGCGCGAATGCCACTCGCCTCCTTCCTCCACAGAGGTAAAGGAACTTCATTGCTCTGAAAGCCTCACTTTTAGGGGCAAGTGCAGAAACGAGAGCGAAAGCGGCGCTCGGATGAGGGAGGGCGCCGGGAGGCGAAGGCGGTGCCGCCGCGGCGGGGAACCGGGAAGGGCTCGGGGCCGGGATGGAGCCGGGGGGGGGCCGAGATGGAGCTGCGATGTCACCTCCCCTTGTCCCAGAGGGGTCTTTCCCAGGGGCCGGTCTATAAAGGCGCTGCCGGCCGCGGGGAGCGGCGCGGTGCGGAGGGGCGAGGCGGAGTTGCGGTGAGCGGAGCCGGTCCCGAGGGATGGGATGGGGATGGGGATGGGAAGGAAGGGGAGGAAAGGGAGGAAAGGGAAACCTTGGCTGCTTCCCCACCAGCTCCTGCTCCCCTCTCGGCTGCGGTGGGCTGGGGTGGTTTCCCTCCCCCGGGCCATTCCACGTGTCTGGCTCTGCGTGGGTGCGGGGGTGCCCAGAGCCTCTCGCCCGCAGCCGCTATAAGGCTCTGCTCCGTCCCTGCGCTGGGGAGAGCCGGCATCTCCCGCGGAGGAAGGGCTGACTCGGAAGAAAGCAGGCGAGGAAACCCAGCCTTTCCCGACAGCCCTTCCCTATCAGCCTTTATCTATCAGCCCTTCCCCATCTCCCTGTTTTTACGCTGAACCTGCTGCTTTTCGGGTTGAGCCTGCTGCTGCCGAGAGGAGCCCCGGCGCAGGCAGCAGCAGCCTCTGAGGAGCCTCTCTGTCCCCCCAGGTGTGTGATCCCGGCGCTCGGAAGCCCTCGGTGCGATGCCATCCTGCCATGTGCCCAGCTGGAGGCATTCATCCAAGGTAAGGGATCTTCTGCTTGTCAGGCTGGGCACGTGGTCTTTGGAAAGGAAAGGGAGGGTCCACAAGCTCTGGGATTCTGTCCTATCCTGAGCATCTGCGTTTCCGAAAGGTGTTAAAGGTCCTAGGGAGCATGCTTTGTATCTGCTAGTCTGGAAAACTTCCCTTCTGCTTCTTGGTTTGCAAAGGTGTCTCTTACTGCAGCGGTGGGGAACTGACTGGGGTGAAAGAGGGGAATGTGCTGGAGCTGCTCCAAGTTCTGAGGGAGGGAAATCGGGTTCTGAATGCATCACAAATGGGTTTGGGAAGGATGCTCTGTCACTTGGGATGGCAAAGGAGGGCAGCACCTGGTGCTTGGGCTGGGAACAGCATAGGGAGGGAGAACAATTTCTTGTCTCTACAACAATAACAAGTTCTGTAACAGCAGCAGCCGCGTTTGCTGCTCCCGCCTCTGCCCGAGGATGAGCTCAGGGCTCTTTGCGCTGTCTTTGCCGTAGTGGATGCTCCCCCCTCTCCTCCTTTTGCTGGCTGAGCTCGCCTGCGATGCCCAGCCCACGTACCAGTGGAAGGACGCTGTGACGGGCGAGAGGATCACATGCCAGCAGTGCCCGCCGGGGACCTTCGTGGCACAGCACTGCTCCAGGGACAGAGCCACGCTGTGCCAGCCCTGCCCGGATTTGCACTACACTCAGTACTGGAACTACCTGGAGAAGTGCCGCTACTGCAATGTCATCTGCGGGGAGAAGCAGGTGGAGGTGCGGCAGTGCAATGCCACGCACAACCGCGCCTGCCAGTGCCAGCAGGGCTACTACTCCAACATGGAGCTGTGCATCCGGCACTCCGAGTGCCCGCCCGGCGCCGGGGCTCTGAAGCCGGGTAAGTGATTCGGGCACCGCGCGTCCTCACGCGGCTCCTGTCCGACCCAAAGTCTCCGCGGGAGATAAAAATCAAAGGCAAATACAGCGGCCAAATGCAGCACCCGGTGCTTGCCCATAGCCTGACCGGCTCCCTTTTAGCTCTGGTGCTGGCACAGTGCCGTCCCTGCCAGCTGTTCCTGCCTCTTTTCCAAGGAGGAATTTGGTTGGGTTTTTCCACAGTTATCAGTTTGAACGCTTTTGAAATCCCCAGCAGCGCACCCCGATGGGATGTGTCAGTCCCAGCCACCTGCCTCACCTGCCACAGCAGGCAGAGCCAGGCTGTGACTTGGCCGTCCCTGGAGCAGCCCCTGGCCCTGTGCCACAGGCAGGTGGGACAGTCCCAGCTGCTCCCAGCCATTCATCAGCTCCCTTCTCCTTGCATAGGCAGCCCGGGAGCTGGGAATGCTGGTTATGTGGGCTGAAGAAGGTGGCTGATGATGTAAAGGCAGGGCTGAGGAATGTGTGTAGCTCTGGGGCCAGTTTTGTGGTTTTTCAATGAGCACTTGGGAGAGGCTGTGTTGAAAACACACAGTGGACACACAGCCAGGTTTCAAATCCACAAAACCAGCTTTGTTTTTACTCCTGAGTCTGAGATTCCATCTCCTTGGGTGATCTAAGTCCCAAGGTATTTTTAGGGGATTTATTCTCCTGTTGTTTTCCCTGTACAGATTTCTCTGGTCCTTTAATTGCTCCAAATGTGTGTAAACTCACCAGTGAGGACCAGGCTCTGCCTGGAAAACACAGCAGGGGATGGCAAACCAGTGTGAGCAGCACCAGCAAACCCAGCAGCATCTTGCTTCACACCTTGAAGTAGTGAAGCAGGAGTCTTTTGAAGTCCTTCCATGTGTGGCATGGAAGAGCTCCAGGCTCAACAGCCACAGGGAAAATATCTGTTGTCTTTAGCTGATCTTTATGATTGAGATTTGGGGTTTAATTTTCTATAGGACATGACAAAATGCAGTAACACAGCAAAGGGGGAAGAAGATCTCCAGGCATTACAAGGAAGCACTTTGAAATTAAACATGAAATTTGTCTGGAGGGTTGGCTTTAGGACTGGGGAGCCATGCAAGCAAGCTGGGTATTTGAGGAGAAGCTGGGGTTTTTTTGGGTTTTTTATTATTATTATTTATTTTTTGCAAATGGCTTCTTGTGTGGGGAGAATTGCCCCCCAGCCCAGGCACCTGAACACCACAGCAAGGACTGAGTGTCCAGTGTGGGAGCAGAGCCCTGGCCCTGCCAGTGCTGGTGTCTGGATGGGGAAGGAGTGCCCTGGGGACCGTAGGCAGAGTTTGCTGCTGTTAGGATTGGATGAGGGCTTTGATCCTTGTGCAATCCTCCTGGGCAAACAAACTTTTTTGAGAATTCCCATTTGTAAATAGTGGCTCAGATGTTGGGGGTTATGGCTGGGCGTTATGAATGGTCTGGGTTGGGAGGGACCTGAAAGATCAGACTTCTGGGAAAGCGTAAAGGCAGCAACAGCATAGAAACTGCTTGTAACTTGATTGATGAGGAGGAGGTGAAAGGGGTGGGAAATCTCCTGCCCCAGGGCCTTTCCCTCTGCTCGCAGGGAGCGGGAATGTTGCTCGGTGCAGCCCTGCCCGTGTGGCATCAGCCCTGTGACACACGGGAAGCGCTGGCCCGGAGCCAGGGCAGCAGTGACAGCACGGCCAAGGCCAGCTCAGCTTTCACCTCCACTGAGACTTTTACTTTCACTTGCTCGGGAGCCTCCGGCTCTGGGAAGGGCTCTGGGAACGGAGGGGCTGGTCTGGCAGCTCAGCCACCAGCCTTGCTGCAGGCTCCTGCTGGGAGGTGGCCCTTTCATACTGAGATGTCCTCTTGCTGTCCTCTCATGTCTGCGGGCTGCTGACAATTTATCAGCACTGCTGTTTGCCCTGTACGAGGACATGCAGTTCCCAGGGGAAATGCTGGAGGTGATCATCTCCAAAACATCATCCTCATGCTCAGATGGTGTCTGGCATCATCGCCAGCTGCTGCCTCTGCTCCCGTGCCAGCCTGTCACCTGACAGTCCTGTTGTGTCCCCATGCTCAGGTACCCCCTTTGAGGACACCCAGTGCCATGACTGCCCCCACGGCTTCTTCTCCTCCAACTCCAGCACCAGCCCATGCCAGCCCCACCAGGACTGTGAGCAGCAGGGGAAGGTGACCAACGTGCAGGGCAACAAGTACCACGACACCCTGTGCACGTCCTGCAGACGTGGGGGAGGCAACAGCACACAGGGAGCAGGTGAGCCACGGGCACAGCGTGCCAGGACTGATGCTGCCAGGATGAGAGCAAACTTCCTCATGACTTTCTCCTAGTTAGATGCAAATGAGGTGAAATGGCTTGTAAAAGCGTGGAGTGATCCATAATTAATAATAATTATGGATGAAATTGTCTGTCTCCCTTCATCTCCTTCCAGTATGAGTCCCATAGAGCAAGGACAGGGTGCTGGGCTTAAGCAACAGTCACTGCACAGTGAGAACAAAGCTGGCAGTGAGATCCTGTTGGATGTTACCAGGGACAACTGGGAGTTCTGGAAGGGGGGATTTTGGCAGCTGAGACACCCAGCTTGGCACAGCTCCTGCACTCCCTTTTCCTGGCTTCACCTGTTTCCTAGAAGCTTTTATGGCAGCCTGGTCTTGTGCTTGAGTGGTTGAGTGGAGCAGATCCCAAGGTTCATTGGAGCTGGTGTGGGGTGGATTTTGACCTGTCAGGTGTAAAAGTGGAGACGTGGTGTCAGTCATAAAGCCATAGAAGAGCTCAGGTGGGAGGGACTCAGAAAATTTATCTGGTCCAACCTTTAATGGGAAAGTGAGCCTGGATGAGATTATCCACTGCCATGTCCTGAAAATCTGAAAAGCAGTGGGGACCTCATCACATCTAGGGCAGGTTTTTCTGGAGTGAAAAAATGTCATTCTTTCACCAGGATGAAGCTTGGTAGAAAAGCTTTAATGAAACCCACCCACAGGGTTTGTTCCAGTTTCCAGGCACTGGAACAGGCTCCCCAGGGAAGTGTCATGGCCAAAGCTGTCAGGCATGTTGTAGGGGTTTTGGGTGGTCTATGCAGAGCCAGGACTTGGACTCAATGAACCTTGTGGGTCCCTTCCAACTCAGGACATCCCGTGTGTGGTGAGGGAACGTGGAGGCTTCCCCTCCAGGCAGCTCTCACTTTTCCACACTCTCCTGGCATCACCAGCACAGAGATTTCTCCTTACAAAGCCTGACTCACACCATGAGCTCCCTGCCAGGAGTGTGATCCTGACACAGAGACTGGGAAGCTCCGTCACCAGTCCCGGGGTGGGCATGGCCAGGTCAGAGCAGGGTCAGCAGCACGTGCGTCAGGCACCGGCCCCCGCAGCCACACCAGCCCTTTGCAGATATTTATAGAGGGAGGAAGCCCCAGCAATGGGAGCTGGAGGGTTTTTTTTAACTCCAGTTTGTTATGATTCCTTCAGGAGCCTCACAGGGATCTGATTATCAAGCCGAGCCTGCTGGGGAGGCAGAGCTGGAGCAGTGGAGCTCAACCCACCCCACTATAACCAGAGAAACTGTTCCCAGTCTGCAATGGCATGAAACTGGGCTAATCTCTCCCTGACTGAGTAATCCTTTGGCCTTGACGTCTTGAAAATTCTTTCTGTTTTCATTCCTGATGCTGGATGCACTCCAGCAGCTTCCACAGGCCAGGGCCGGATCTGTCCCATCCCAGTGCCCTGACTGGGGCTGTGCTTAGGGCTGGTCCTGTTACAAATCTGTTACAAAAGGTTACAGATCTGCAGGGGAAAACGGAAACTTTCAGAAAAAAAGAATGTGTAAATACTTACTGCAATTGCATCAGATTTGTCTGGGATGTTCCTCTATTCCCTGATGGGGAGGAGCATGGAATAAGTACATTGACTTTCTACAGAACTTCTACACCTTGTTTTCCAACTGCCCCGGCTAGGGTGCATCACTGATAAGAGTTCAGCCTTCCACTAGACCGGGTTGTTCCAGCACCCATCCAACCTGGCCTTGAACGCTTCCAGGCCTGGGGCACTCACCAGCCCTGTGGGCAGATGTCCCACAGAGAGCCTTGGCAGGGCTGTGCCCTGCTGTCCTGTGTCCCTTTAACCTCGGGCTGTTTTCCCCCACCAGCTGCAGATGATGCTGACTGCGACCAGGCCATGATAGACTTTGTGGTGTACCAGAACATCCCCGTCAAGAAGCTGAAGCGCCTGCAGCAGATCCTGGAGCGCTCACCAAAGAAGCAGCCAGCATGGACCAGGGCAGCCATCCAGGAGAAAATCCGGGCTTTCCTCACCCACAGGAAGGAGGAGGACTCTGAAGTCACCAAGGAGCTGCTGGACGCGCTGCGCATGGTCAAGCTCCACTCCATTGAGGAGAAAGTCCGTGAGCGCTTCCTGCTGCGCTGAGAGCATGAACTGGACTTTTTGGGTGCTCTTTGTTTTGGTTTTTATCTTCTGAGGCTTCATTAATTTATTCATCTTTCCAAACATAACTTGAAAAGCAGCATGAGAGACGAGTGATGGAGGGGCATTGTGCTATGGCAGCTGTGTCGCTGCTGATGGGATGGGGTGGGATGGGATGGGATGGGGTGGGATGGGATGGGATGGGATGGGATGGGATGGGATAGGATAGAATGTGTGAGCAGCAACATCCTCTTGCCAGCTGCTGGGGCAGCTCCTGGGAGTTCAGCAGGTGTTGGCCACAGATTTTCCAGCCCTCAGCAAGAGTCAATATTTTATCATAAGAAAAACCTGCATCCAGGGTCATTATTTCTGGGGAAGAACATGGTTCCCTTTATAGAAAATGGTTTGGCTTTGTTTTAAACTGTGTAAGTTTGGGCTTGTTGGGGGTTTTAGTAATTTAACAGTATTTCCCACGGAGGATTTGCTTGTGATTTTTATCATGCTTTTGTTTGAGAAAAGAGTTTGCTGCTGAGGCACAGGAAGGGGGAGGATGCCCCAAACTCACTGGTACAGCTAGTTTGAAATTTATTTCTTAACTACCTGTTTTTATACCATGTGTGAAAGATGTTTTCTAAAGAAAGAAACCAAAGAAGTTATTTTATCATATACCTCTCTGTCACCCGAGTCCTTTCCTAGTCTCACTTGGAGGTGGTGCTGGGAGACCCAGACCATCATATCTGACCCTGGATATTGTCTGTTTTTCCCACATGTTGGCATCTCTGCCCATGGCAGGGCATTGGAACAAGGTGATCTTGAAGATCCCTTCCAACACAAACCATTCTGGGGTTCTGTGATCACACAGCCCCAGCCAACCCCTGCCCCCTGGGCCGCAGTGAGGCTGTGTGCCAGCAGGATGCAGACAGCTTGCACTGGGATTTGTGGCCAGGGTGACACTCATGTCTCTTGGGCCAGCCCAGCTGTGTCTCCCTGAGCCCCAGCTCTGTCCCCAAACCTGGCTGTGTGCTCTGTGGGCTGGGCTTGGGACAGTTCTGCTGACTGCAGGAGGTTTTATATAAACAGATGTTGCTTAGGGAAGTCAACAAGACTGACCGCCTCTGGCATTTTCCAGCCTGTAGCAATGATGACGCAGAGCTACATTTTATGCTGTGAATGAGTTTGACTTTTTATAGTTCTTCTTTAGTGGACCAGATACCAGGAATAGTTTGTGGTTCAGAAGATGATGTTTCCCCCAGCTTGGAGCTGTTTAAAGCTCTCTGAAGCAAATGCTACCTGAAAGTGCCCCCACACTTCCTCTGTGCAAGGAAGCTGAGGGGGGAAGAAGGGAATTTTACCCTCTCCTCACTGCCCACAGACACATCCCAGGCTCTTCCTGCTGCAGTGACAAGTTAATCCACGCAGTCTGGATGACAGGGGATGATCCCAAGAGGCAGCGCTTGCCTCTTCACTGTTCCACAGCTTGGGAGTCTCTGGATGTGTGCTCACACCTGCCTGGCACCACAGGCTTGAACTGAGGATCCCAGGCTTGAACTGGGATCCCAAACTTGCAATGTCTCACCCCATTTTTAGGCTCAGAGGATGAAGCAGCTCAGTGACCCTGGCATTGTCCTGGGTTGGTTCAGCCAGGGAAGAAGAGAAGCAAATGGCTGAAAAGCAGCTGAGGGGAGCCCTCACCCCTCTGCGTTGAGCCTGGGCTGATCCTGGGAATCCCCTCAGTCCTGGCAATCTCCTTGAAGCTTCACCAAGCCTGGCCTTGAAATCCTGCTAAGGAGATTCACAGGGGACCAGAACTCCCCTTCCCAATGCTCAGTTTTTACCAATTCTGATCTCTGCCCTCCCAAGCTGCTTTATCCCAGTGGGATGCAGCTCAGTCTCTGAGCATCACTTTCTCCTAGTCCCTTGGCAGGAGCCAAGTGCCTCTGCAGGGTCTGAGAGCAGCTGGGGCAGGACATGAGGAGGGTTTCCATCACAGCACAGTGAGAACTGAAGCTCAGCTGCAGCACTTTGCTCCAAGGCAGAGTGCAAGGCAGGACAGCCGGTGCTGATGGGTTGAAGGCTGGAGCAGCTGGAGCCTCTGGCGTTGGCTGCAGCTCCTTGAGGGATTCCCAGCCTGCTGCATTGCAGTTATCCTGACTCAGCACAAAGCGTTTGGAGCCCTTGGTCTGAGGGAGAACAGGAATGGAGAGCTGTTAGTGCAGGAACTGCCTCCCACACTGAATGAGGGTCCACCATGTCCAGCCCTCCTTGGGGCACCATGTCTGGCTCCCTTGTGCCTTGGCAGGTTGCAGTGGGGACCACAGAGCTCAGCTCAGTGAAGCAGGAGAGGGGGATTAAATAACAAGATGGCCCAGGCTGAGTGAGAGAGCTCTGCACCCTCTGCCAGCTTCCCCTGCCACCAGCCACTGCAGCACCGAGGAGCTGGCAGGGGATGATGCCCTGTGCCACCAGCTCAGTGCCACGAGCCTGACTTGCTCTACCAGGGTATCTCCTGAGCACCCACACGTTGTTATCATGCTCTGTTCAGGGGATTTGGAGCCTCTCCTCAGTCTCCTCCCAACCCTATTCCCCTCATTGTCAAGTTAGCTGGAATTTCTGCACAGGGAATTTTCTTCTCACGTGGGCTGGTAGGCAGGGTGACTGAGGAAGATCTTTCTGATAAATGTTAACCTTTATAAGTGTGGCCAAACACCCTGGCACGTGAGTCCTGCTGGGCTTCCAGGCACTGGGCTTTGCTGGAAAAGCCAGGATGGGCTCTGCACAGAGAGCACTCTCAAACCACCTGTGGCTTCATCACAAGGTATTTCACCTTTTCAGCTAATTAACATTAACAGGATGAAAATCCCTTTTGGTTTCCCCTGAAGTTTCCAAAGCCCAGGGAGAGAAAAGGAAGAGTTGGCAGCATGAGCTTTTTCCTGATGGTTTAAAAGACTCTTTCCTTATAAACTATGGCAGAGGAGAGCACATGGTTGGATCTAAAAGTAGATGCAGTGATATCCCAGGATGACTCATATATTTAGTACTCAGAAGATAATTTTCCAAATGCTACAAGCACTATATAAAAAGCCAAGCCCACGCTGTTCTCCATGTCAGGCTTCCCCCTGCTGTTAAATGCTTAAACCCAGATAAAATCCCACAAAACCACTGGCAGGTTTAAAGTGCTGAGGTGGGTTAGGTCAGTGCCATGGGCTCCTTGGCCACCTGTAACCACAGCCAGGTGTGCCAATGACTCAGGCTGGTGGTGGTGATGCCTCAAACCCTGGAGGATTGGCAGCAGGAGCTGACATGCTCCCAACCTGCTCGGTGCAGGAGCTGGTTGGGACACGTCTCTCCTCATCCCAGGAGATCTGGCTCAGCTGTAAAGATTGGAATGAGGTCAGGGAATTACTAAGTGAATGGAAGGAGTCAGAGGGAGTTTTTCTAGTGAGGTTACGCATAGCTGGCTCATGCCAGGGGTGGAGAGCCAGGGCTGATAGAAGAAACAAAGCGGGGGAATTTCTGAGGTGTGCAGAGAGCTGTGAGGGGATGAAACCAGGGCAAATGCACAATTCATCTTGTTGAAACAGCCTACAGCCCATTTCGCCTGAGGCTGCCAACTTGTCATGCACAAGGCAGGTAAATTCAATCTTCTGCCTGCAGATTCTGCATCCTCCCATGTTGCTCAGCAGCTGACAATGGGCTGAGCCCTCCAGGCTCTGTGGGAGTGTGCTCAGGGAGTGCTAATGCACACTAAACTTATTTGCATTCTCCCATCACTATTCCAGAGGTGCAAATTTTATCTTGTTTTGAAGCACACTTCTATTTTCCTCCTGATGGTAACACTTTCCTTTCTGGCTGTAAATCTGTGTGATGTGTCCAGGCTGTCCCTGCTGGGACTCAACCCTCACAGCAGTCACCCAACAGTGGGAACAAATTTCCTGGTGCCAGGGCCAGAGGGGGACAGTGCCAGCCCTGTTGGAGAAGCAGAGGTGAGCCTGAGGGAGTCAATCCTGTCCTGGAGCAGGAACAGAGGGGGCTGAGATGTGCAGGGCAGCCCAGCCTGTGGGGCAGAGAACAGGGATGTCAGGACATCTTTTCCCACAGGGTCTCACCTGACTCCCTGCCCTCATTTCTACCCCTCCTCAATTTATAATTTTTATTCCTTTATGTGTTCAAGGAGCTTCCTAAGAGTGGAAAGTCTACAAAAGCAAGCAAGAGAAGGCACAGCAGGTCACCTATCCCAGATGGAGCCAGGGGGACACAAGGGAACTGAGGAGCCCCATGATGAGTTGGTGTCACTTTGGCCAGGTGAGGAGATGGGTCTGGTGCTCTTGGGCTGAGTGGGGCTCACACCATGGATCTGCATCCAGAGCTGGGTGAAACTCTGCCTGCTGAGCACATACCATGTATTTTTTAATGGAAAAAGAATTTTTGCCTCACATTGAGCAAAACCAGAATCTGACTGATAAACCCTTCCAATGAAACTATGAAAACCTCCATGAAAAACATCAATAAAGAGTTTGGTTTGTCAGTATAGTCCTATTAAAGAAGCTCAAACACATTTTGGTGGCCTGATGACCCTACAAGTGTTGCTGGAGGGTCACCAGTTTAGAGCTGTGTCTGGCCTTGGGGTGCAGGAAGGGCTGGGGGGTCCCTCCCCACCCTCACCTCACTGTCCAGCTGCCTGTGTTGGTCCCAAAGGGCCTTTTTGTCCCCTTTGTAAATGGAAGAGTTGGAACTGTGGCTAAGTCCAGATTTATGGTTCTCTCCCTGACTCAGGATCCAGTCCCTGATTCATGATTCAGCCCCTGATTCAGGATCCAGCCCCTGACTCAGGATCCATTCCCAGACTCCGTATCCAGTCCCTGACTCTGCTGATGGTGGAGAAAATCCTGTGAAACCCAGGTAATGGCACCAAACCCGTCTGGGACAGCTGGAAGCCAGCACTGGAAATGGGAACCATGGAAACTGTGGCCAGGGAGGGTGGGGAGGGTGATCCTGGGGTGAAA